ATCTTTTACTGCTGTCCCCCTTGAATCCGCCTATGATACCGATGGGGAAGGCTGTAATCAATGTTAAATTGAATGTTTTTATTGCATGTGTAAATGATGAACGTCTCAGAACTGTTGGTAATCAAAAACATGGGCGTCGATCGGTGGGCCCCCACTTTTCAAAGTAGGGAGACATCATATCAATTGCTCCCCCCCTTTTCACCAATCTTCTATAATCAAAATCCCACTTTACAAAGCGAATGGAAAGAATAACAATTACGCATGACTGTCATGTTTTGTCTCTTCACTTTTCCAAGCAGCAAAAAAAAAAAAAAAAAAAAAAACACCCGGAAAATTATAATTAGAATTTAGGCCTGAGAGTGCCATTTCCGGCCATCTAGGAGTGTCATAATCATACGTTTTCTTACCTCAACCCCAATGGTGGGGCTGAGTTGAGGTAATCAAAAAATGCTAACTAATGCTGTGTGTACTTCCTATTTCCTTGGTCATCGTAAATTCTCCTTCTCTTACTTTAGACGGTAGTATTTCCACTCATGTGTAGTCGCAATGCTACTTGCACAAAAGTGAAATTCAAAAAAGTGTAGAAAATAAAAGGAAAAACCTCTTGATTGCTTTTAAAAGTACTGACATGCAAGTAGACAATTTCAAGATTATCTTATCTGTTTTTCATTGTTCGAATACGTCACAAGCTAATGAGAAGATAATAAATCATTATTTTTTATGAATGTTAGTTTGCACGAAATATTATAAGCGGGCATAATTACCAGGATGATTTTAAACACTTTTTATGAAGAGTTTTCCCGTGGCGGATTCAAGGGGCCCAATGTAGTCGCAATAATACTTGCACAAAAGTGAAATTACAAAAGAGGGAAGAAAAGGGAAAACCTCTTGCTTGATTTTAAAAATACTGCACATGCTAATCAGTAGATAATAAATCATTATTTTTATGAATGTTAGTTTGCACAAAGTATATAAACGGGAATAATTATGATTGCCAGGATAATTTAAAAAACTTTTTATGACGAGTATTTCAGTGACAGATTCAAGGGGCCCAGTGGACAAAAATGAAAATTTAGTCTGAGAGTGCCATTTCCGTCCAACTAGAAGTGCCATAATCATAAATTTTCTCCACCTCAGCCCCAACCATGGTGGGGCTCCATCTGTAAACGTCCCTACCCGGGCCAAGCTCTATTTCAAATTCCTGGATCTGCCACACTATTTTGAAAATGTAGTATAGAAATAAAAGTTAATTGCATTCCTTAAAATCAATTAGAAACAACTTATAAAAGGCTATAGGCGCCAGAGCTATGATCGAGTCGCAAATCGTCAAATATCTGAGTCGCCGAGTCACAGTCACGTTAAAATATATTTAGTTTTCGATGATGTTCACAAAGCCTGTACAACTGTCAAGCGCAAGAATTATGGAATGGTAGCGTTATGGAGAGAATTTTTGCTTCAGATGAACTCATAAACAATTCAGTTTTCGACAGGGCCCGTACATAAAACTGCCATTAGAGTAAAAAGCTAATAGGCCTTTAATGATTTACTTTTATTTTGTTTCTTGTGATATTTTTTCTTTCTCTCTGTTTCGATTTATTCTTATTTCTTTTCTAGTGATTTTAAGATTTTCGTTAGCATACTTGTAATTTTCGTGTCCGTTTGGACACATGCATACAATTTTTAAAGAAATTGTTTATATACTCAAGCAATATATCAATGTCTTAATGTTTTGTTCACACTGACAAGTTGAACCAGAGTTGAACTCCATTCAAGCGCCCTCAATGTGGAATAGTTGGTTGGCGTCTGCAGACAGCAGAAATTAATCAAATTTAGGTCTGAGAGGGCCATTCAGCGTGACCACTGCTTGGGCATTTACCCAAGATCTTGGGTATTTTATTTTTACTAAGAAAATTAAATATTTTTGTCATAGAGGAAGAATTAAGAAGTAACGAAGTATATTTCAGTCCATTCAAGTAAGCAAAACTCTACGAGTGCACATAGCATTGTTAATTGACTTCTTATGACCAAACGAAAAAGCACATTGGCGATATATTGAATTGATAATATATTGAAATAATATATAGAAACAGACATTTCAAACGCAATTAAAGAAGACACAACAGAATGGAAAACTCAAATTGTAGTCACACACGAAATTTTACGACACTTGTAACTGGCGATATCCATGCTTATATAAAAATAGTAATCTTGATGTTCATAATTTCGATACTAGGCTATTAACTTAGACTTGCATCACGTTATATCGCGAAATTTTCCATTATAAATAAATCATTAATGAAAGGTATGTTTCTAAACGGCTTTGCTCCTTCGGGGAGGCTAAAAAAACCATGCTAATTAGAAACCAGAATATACTTTCATTTGATGTACTGAATATTTCATTAAACATAGGCCTATAAGATATTTGGGTTTAGAGATAGTGTACGCAAACTTAACACGGGATAATCATATACGACATGGGCCTACGTCTGTAAGCTTCAAGATTCATAACATTGGCCAAAAAATTGCACCAATCTCTGCTCAGTGGTGCCACCAGCGGGGGATCGGGGGGGGGGGAGAGGCTGCCCACCCCTCCCCCCCCCCCCCGCGGGGGGGGAAGAAAAAAATTATAGGCCTATGTATTTTCTACATTAGTAGGCTCTAAAATCGATTAAATACCGTAAGCCTTTTGAAATCCCTAAATTGTCAAAATTTTCGGGGGCTTCTCCCTCTGGACCACTTTCGAAACCTTTTAATCAAAGCTCAACCACGCCCACTTTGCTTTCGTCGGGGAAATCTGACCCCTCGTCGCCCCCCTCCCCGTCGGGGACCTCGGCCCCTCCGTCGGGCAAATCCTGGCGCCACCCCTGTCTCTGCTTATATATAAGCACAATCGAACCATGTATCGATTATGCAATTTCGGTTTGGGGAAACACATCCGAGAAAAATATTGTAAAAATCGGACTGCAAAAACGTGCAGCAAGAATTACATAAACACAATTTTGATTACATTCGATGCTATATGCATGACATGCCCGACCCCCTTCTCGTTAAATAACGAAATTGAAAAGATTTTCGATATGGATATTCAAAAACTCAAAACTTTAAACGTTGTTGCACTAAGTACAGTAATTGCAACGTGCCACCACGCTTCACTGTGATTTACATCATAGTATTCGAGTGACAATTTTTTACAACAGGAATAGGGGCCTAGTTATGTTGAAGTGACTATTTTTAACAATTTTAAATTATTAATGTGTATTATTACATAAAAATAAATAGGCCTACTATATAAATCCAGATTTTTTATTTAGGCTAGCTATTACTTTAATAGATTTTTTAATAAGGGGGCGGGTCCAGGGGCTGTCTCTTATACACATCTAGATGTGTATAAGAGACCAAAAAAAGAGAAAAAAAAGAAAAAAAAGAGAGAAAAAGAAAAAAATGATAGCCCACAACGCCTCAAATGTTATTTTCGGGCGTCTAGAACACAAAAATTTCGCGAACCCCCTAGGTCATTGTTGTCTCGATCGGCCCAAATTTCTGCCCCCCCCCCCTTTTTGACATCTCTGGATCCGCCCCTGGGGTCCTCATAGATTTGGGGCCCCTGGAGATCGGGGGCCACATGGTTCATGAACCTGCGGTAATTACGCGACTGAGGAAATGAAAAATATGCATGAGAGTAGGGGTGTCTTATATTATTAGGCCTAGGGCCTATATGTTAATTAATTCGAGCTCGAGTATAGGCCTATGTTGCGCTGTAGTTCTATTTATATATATGGCCGAGAAAACGTTATTTAAATAGATGCATAAGTGACTGTTGTACGTTAATTACTCTAATTATTAATTGAATATTGACTTTTACAGTCAATAAACAATATTAACAACGGTAAAGAAATTGCGTAACGATCCTGATACACGTGGACAGCCTACTTGCAAGTCTACGTGACGACGCACTATTGTTGAAGCTCGAGTAAAATCTCAACCGGAACGTACCCGGAAGTTCCGGAAAAAAGGGAGTGTTTTACCTTGCGACAACTCACTCAAAACACATTAAAAATGGCAGAAAAAAACAAAAATAAATATAACATTTCGATAATTCGATAGGTTGACCTATAAAATGCACCTCTCTGCGGTGTGCATTTGCCCTGAGCACCTATTCCAAAATTATAGTGGCCGCGTAAAGTTCAAACCGGAACACAACCCGGAAGTTTGGGAAAGAGGGCGGGCTTACTCAGGCTATTAAAAAGTGAAACTCTGAGTCCGAGTTCAGCAACAAGTTGCGGAAGACAGCTCAGTTAAGATACAGAAAAATGGCTGAAAGAAATAAAAATCGCCTTTTAGATCTATTAACTCAAGAAGGAAATAACGTATGTGCTGATTGTGGATGTCAGGGTCAGTATTTGTTTAATTATATAATTTTAAAATGTATGATATAGAAAGGTTTGTAGTAAGAATAATTAATAATCGCGGCCATGATTTTTCTATTTCAATGGGCGTTTAGTAGAAAAGTTGGTGAAGCGCGGTAAGGGGCCTGGCCTAAATTTATTATTTATAGCATTGTGGTACACAAGTTATTAAAATGGTTAAATTCTACTGTATAATCTGGGGCTTATTTAGTCCGTTTTTTAGTTCGTTTAGTCGCCTAGGCGTACTACTAGCATAAATAAAAACCCCTCAAAACAGTAAGTCTGGTACTACTAATTATTATTTTAGTAGAAAATAGTTGATTGACAATTTTGTGGTCTGGTTTGGTTAGGCCCTAGCTAGCCTAGCCTAGGCTAGGTCTGGCAAATTTTGGCTTTACGATCAGACCCCATCCGCCTTAAGGGTCCAGGCTAGCCTCACAAGTGACAAATTCTAGTAGTAAGCCTAGCGGCCTGAGATTCATCAAACTTAAATTCAAACCGAGTTTATTATAATAAATAATCCTGTGTCAAAAGTCAAGAAATTGAATGTTTGACTGAACTCAACTCAATAGGTTGTTTCCTGAAGTTCATATTTTTATTTACAAAGTTTGAAAGTGTCCCATGTTACAAGTAAGGGCACATAGAAAAAATTCTTAAGATTATCACTATTTTTTTTTTTTTTAAATGCTGAGGGCAGGAGGGTTTCTTTTTTTTTTTTTTTTGAGGTGGGGTGGGGGGATGTGATTTTACACAGGGATGCCTGTGTGCATGAACAGAACAAACATGGTGTTGTTTTTTCGAAGTCGCAGATGCCTTTAAACAAAACTAGGCCTATATTCTGGTGAAAAAAATGTGGACATTACTTGAGCATCAAAGGGAAGGGAACACCCTAATTATAGGCATAGATGCATAGACTTTGGTCTTTACCTTGAACTACGCCATCCTTGGCGTAAACTTTCTTTCTCGATGTTGTATGTTAGTTTTTGCCCAATAACTACAAATCCAACCGAACAAACCCATCACAAGGAAGACCGCCCACTTGTAATGCATTATGTAACGAGTAATTTTTAGCAGCGAGAGTCTCTGTGGAACATGTGTCTTTATGCTGTGAATCAATGATCCGATGAGGCCCACTGTGCCACAGTGAATGAAACGCAACTTGATGAGTGTAATTGATTGCTGTTTTTTCCTTTAATTTTCAATCCCTGGCAACTTTCACAACAATACCACATGGAAATCACACTGGAAACTGGTGAAATCGTGCATTATGCTCTTAAAAAATAATTTTTTTCGGCTCAAAACATATAGCATGAATAAATTCGCTTAGTGGAATACTGCCTTAATGTGTTTACAATTAGTGTACTTTGACATCGTTCTACTGGATGAATACGTTATTAATGAAAAATATATTACCAAAAATGTATAAGATATATTGTGAGAAAAGTTTTGAATGAATGGTCGGTCGGTTTTTAAAATGTTTGTTAAAAATTCTTTTTCTTTTATCCTGAAATTTGTTTAAACCTCTAAATTGTGGACTTGGCAAAATTGATGCTACAATGAAAATGATTAAATGTAATGATGACCCAACTTGTTACCACAGTGCAAAAGTTTATTGACACTTATTTGGATCGCTAAAAAAATAATTCTTAATGAAAATAGAATGGACTGCTTCCTGTTACCGTTGGAAGTAGCTTTGTCATCTTTGGAAGACACATAGCTGTCAATTATGGATCCGTTAAAAAAATCATGGCTGGTGTTTACTTTGAGAGCCAACTATTGAAATACACTATACACAAATTTGTTTCAGTTATCTTGGAATATTTATTACAGTGACATGTATTCCAAGACCTCCTGCTATTAAGCTGAAATTTAACAATAAATTCAATTCATCATGGTATTTTGGAATGTTTGTAATATTAAATAATATCATCTTTTTAAATTCTTAACCTAGATCCTGATTGGGCGTCATTCAACCTTGGTATTTACTTGTGCGTAACATGCGCACAAATCCATCGAATGCTTGGAGCTCACATTAGTAAAGTGAAGTCTATTCGCCTCGATCAATGGAATGATGACCAGGTGGAGGTAAAGTGTCATGCTTTTTTTATTCCCCTTTTAGGTCTGCCTAATGGCATTCTGCAATTTTTTAGAACGACGAACCAATTGTGGCAAAGACAAGCCAAACCAGTCACTCGTCGCAAATCATGTTTCAGAGAAAATGGCTAAAACATGCTGGAATGTCAAATTTTTATAAATCTATTTTATTGTACTAAACTAAACTTTATATATCTACACATCAATCTATGCTGTTATTTTCCCCATTTTCAATGTTAAAACAATACTTTTTAAGGATTTAAAGATAGTTTCTGCATGAGAAATGCCTGAAATCATAAACTTTGACGGCTAATTTCTCATTGTTCTTTAAACAGCTGTGTGGTTAAACGCTTGTAACTTCATAAGGAAATGTCCAATTTGAATGATTTTTTTACCATTTTATAGCTATTATTTTACTATCTAACACTGTATTAATAACTCAAAATCGATTTTTGCGACGAGTGACTGGTTTGGCTTGTCTATGCCACAATTAGAACCTTGAAATTGAGTTGCAGCCCACTGAGCACTCATGTAAAGATGATCTGGAAGCCTTAGGCCTATATCATGCTTACGTTAATGCAACACATATTCCATTTCATTGTATCGGTAACCACCCTGGTTTATCGAGGGATAGTTTTTTTTGTAAATATTTCATTATTAATTATTAAAAAAATCTTATTTGTACATTGTCAAGTTGAATACAAAATTAGATACCAAGATATTAATGATAGTGACACTGAGATTAGAACTACCTGACTTCTGTCTAGTTCATGACTCTACAGTGGTATCCTTTGTTCCTTTGTATTCATTTCAGGTTTTACAGTTGCTTTGAAAAATTCTGTTCTTAAGTACATTGACATTATAAAGCTGTATGACAGCCCTGGAGAGAATCATATGTAGAAAAGCTTATATGTCACGAGAATGAAAGTTAGAAATAATTGCCTTTAACATAAGTTTTTCTTTTCTTCCATTCTACCAAATTGCTTAAAAGAGCAACCACAATGTCTTTTGTATCCTAAATCAACAATGTCATTAGGCGCGATCTCCAAATTATCCCAGACAACAAATCAGCGTTCAGACACGTTTTCTATTGTTCTACCAAAACACGTCTGAAAACACTGTTTGAATAGCACATCATTTGGACGCTGATTTTCCGTTTTGGCCTTTGCTTCTCCCCTTTAACTATGGCCGATTGGATGCACTGTAAGACTCATACAGACGACTTTCTAAAATGAATCATAATACGAATGACTGTGCGGCCCAAAACCCAAGTACAGACTTGTTTACCTGCTAGTAAACATCTCTTTGTACGCTGCCTGTGTGTGCAAGAACTGACAGAAGTACGTAAACTAGGGAAAGTCCCTAGTCGATGCTAAAAAATAATTCGTCGGTTGGGTACTGGGACGTCAACGTTCAGTAGGCCTAGTACCGTGCATAGGTGAGACTATCGCAATAATTCAGTGATTTTACAAATCGGTGAACAAATGTAACTTTAAAAAATCAGATTTTTTTTTTAGTTAATTCTGATGTAGTTGCAGCTCAAGTCGCTGGCCACCATCATTTTTAAGAAGCGCGATCGCCATCCTGTGCAGCTGTGGTAACATCCAGCACAGCAAGTAATTGTTCTACTTGCTGTTGAAAAGGATCATGTGCTAAGACCCATGCCCCGAAAACATTGTCCATGATCAAAGTAGATGAAATTTTGCATTATACTAAGCTAAATTATATTTACATTTTATAAAACAAGGTTTATTAATTAATTTAATAAATGAAAAAAAAGTGAATTTCATGAGAAACACATTTTTTTTATGCCGAATTTCACTGTGAGTTTCGACATACAAACATGTAAGGCTAAGCCATTGCCTATCCAGTAAAGTTTTTGCTGACAACTCGCGATATTACTGTAATTTATTTATTTATTCAGCTGAACATACACTTCTGTTTCAGCGGCACACCTAAATTTGGTGCGTTCAATGTATAAAAGAGAGAAAGAAAAACAACTATAAAAATAAGTAATTGTTAAAAAAAAACAATAGAAAATCGTTCAAACGATCAACAAGCGTCCAAACGATTCACTGTTGTCCAGGCGCAAGCTGTAATTCAAGCGTGTAGCAAATGAATATTCATATAGCGGTGGTAATTAGAATAGTTGATTTCTCAGACGTGTTCGTGATAGGGTGTTGACCTACAATAGACGCATTTTTGCCGTCTGGGATAATTTGGAGATCTAGCCTTGCATAAATCACAATGTACCAAAAAAAAAAAAAAAAAAAATGAAATTAAAATGTAAATGGTACTGCTGTGGGTATCATATTAAACATACTGTAACTATGGGCATATTAGATGTAAATTTGTAACATTAAATTATTATGTGTCAGTCTTTTTCTTAGTGCAAGACCTTACGTCTATATTATGTGTTACCTACCCCGGTATTCTTAAAACGAACTTTAGTTGTAGTTCGAGCTAAAACTTTAAAATTACGTCATTTCGTATTCTTAAAACGAACTTCGACTAGCACTACGACTAAATGACGTGAACCTTGACTAAAATGATACCTCCGCAGGCCGATTTTTTTTGGTCAGCCTAGGGTCAGGCTAAATCGCCGACTTGAAATATTTACCCCACTAAAAACATGTTTTTTGTAACTCACGATAAAGTGAAACGAATAAAAACGATTGTACACACAGTTGGTTTTTCATTGGTTAGTTTGATAGTCGTGGCTTGCCAGTCGTCTTCAGTTGAACTAAAACTAGGACTTGATTTAGTCGTAGTTAAAACTTCGACTACATTGTTTGTGAATACAAATTGAAGTTAAAGATGCAACTAGCACTAAATGAAGTTCTAGTTTGAAGTTCGACTAAAGTTTGTTTTAAGAATACGGGCGCTAGGAACAGTACAGTAATTTGGATTGTGTGTCTATGCATACTGTAGGCCTACTACTCCATAACATCTATGGGGACCATTCTACAGTATAGCTGCTCTTGTAGGCCTACTTTAATAGTCAAGAGATCGGTATTTGAACACCATGTACTGTACCTACATACCATATTCTTCAGAGAAGAGACAGTGTGGATAACAAACTTACCTTTCTCAGACTCAAACCTGAACCCTACTCTTTGATGGGAAGATCATAGCCATTAATTAGGAGTAGTTTAGCCTCATTGTTATTACTGTTGTTGTTGTTGTTATTTTTTATTTTAATTTATTAGTATTATTTTATTGTTATTTTCTCGGTTGGCCTATATTATTTCTGTGTAAAGCACATGGGGCAATGTACAATATGCGCTTTATAAATATAACATATCATTATTGTGATGTCTCTTTGGACAGGAAGTTTGAACAAACAAAATTACCAACCAGGAAACATGGTATAAAGTATGTGATAGTCACCATAAATTGAACAAATATAATTGACAAATTTTCATGCTGAACAATTGGCAATTCCTATAAATCACAAGCATGCCAATATTTGGATATTCTGAAAAAGAATGAATGTACAACAATGTGTTAACAGGAAGGAACATTTTTTAGAATAAAAAGATTTTCTGGTTTCTTTGTGGTTTTGGGATTTTTTTCACTGGAGCAGATTTGAGGGGGGGGGGGGCCTTCTGGACATCTCTGAATCCGCCCCTGTTCACCCTTTTCCTCTTATAGTACTGTAGGCCTATGGTGCTGTAACACATTAGAACAAAACCAAAAAAATGATATATATTAACACTTTGGTAAATAAAAAAACACCAAAAAGTGAAAGTGCAAAAAGTTTTTGTATGTTAAATTCTGATAAAAAATTTAGGTCAGGTGTATACTTGGCATTACCTAGAAATATTGGAATCGTGAAGCTGTTTATTGATGATTAAATTCACCAGTTGAAATCATGTCCTGTGTCCCACAGAGATAACAACTGTTACCGTTAGATTTAGAGTATTCATGGGTAAAATCATGACACTGCAAATACCTGTCTCTTATACACATAT